CGAGACCGCTGCCCACGCCGGCGTCGACGGCGACTTCTGCCCCGACGGTGTCGCCTGCCCCGGCTGCTGTATCCTCGGGAACCACTGGCCTGACGCTCTCGGATGCAGAGATGAATGACATCTTGCAGGACATGAACTTTGACCTCAGTGCGGCTGACTTGGAGGGTCTTGACGTGGCCATGGGGATGGATTTCGGAAGCGGCGCGGGGCCTGCGTGTTAGTAAATTGGGCCTGAGAGACGGACGCAAATGCTGCGTTTTCCAACCATGACTTGATGACGGACTACTTTATAATAAGAGAAAATCACATGTAGACGGCCCGGCTTTCAACGGGGTCGATAAAAGAAAAGTAAACGGAACGGGATCACAGGAACGAGATGGCGGGCGTTTGATTGCTATCGTTAGTTTTTGAAATTGTATACCCAATAAAAAATCTCAATTAAGTATTTTTTGGCAAAACGATCTTCCCAGTGCTGTTTGTGTTCGCTCTTGTCTTCAGCCAGCTAGGAAGTGTTGTATTATCCCAGATTGTCTTCTACTACCCCCGTCTTCCTCGTAGCTCTACCCTAGACGAAGGCAGCGAGAGGGGAAGCCCCGGTAGCTAGATGTGCGTGTACAGTCTCTTAGAATTATGATGTTGAAGGAAAAGTCAGCATAGAGCGTACGGCATGTCTTTTCCCCTTTAGCACAAGAAGTGGCTTGGTGTACGTTGGTAGATCGTGGACGACACTAGAGGTACTGTCTCACACTGTACAAGTCTTACCTTTTGACAAAAATTGTTAGGGAATAGGTGACGCTTGCACCAAGATGGCTATCCGTTATGCTCAGACAGTTAACATAACGCATATTCTGACACTGTATGGCTCTCTCATCGCTCAACAACATGCTTACACCTGACCATCCGCTCATGAAGCTCAATCATCACTTTCTCTCCACGAATCACCTCACTGCAACTCGCCAAGTCACTTCAAATCATTATCTCCAGGGGTGCTGGACAGCATCACACAACCTTACCCATCACAGTCACAGGAAAACTCTTGGCAGTGGAGCAGTACACAATGAGCTCGGCGGTGCCCACGACTTACAACAACCGCCCCAGAACGCGGCAACGTCTCCCAAAGGCACCTCCCGCCCTGGACGTGCCAAATATTGAAGAAGACGCACCGGAGAGGAAGCGGGTGTTGAATGTTCTGGCCCAGCGCAGATACCGTACGTTGTTCTGTTTTCACCGCCTCGTCGGAAACTCCCATCGGTCGGTCAAATGCACTCTACTGCATGGCGCATCGTTGTCACATCTCGACTACATCAAAAGGGGTTTACAATCTTACTGACCCTGAAAGGATAGGCGAACGCAAGAAACAAGACCGCCTCGCCAGGGAGAAGAGGCGCGCCGATGGCCCAGAGCGCTGGGTGTCTGAGACATGCGTCGACCACGGCGGCTCTCCTCCTCCGGCAGCGGCTGCTGCTGCTCCATCCGTTCCTGATGCCATGGACCCGATTGAGCAGATTGCAGACCGCCGCCTTCTAATTAACGCCGACCCGAATGACGGCGCTACTGTGGGATTCAATCTAGACGCATCTGCGGCGTGGCCAGCTGATCTCTCAGACGACAGCTCGATATCGGAGCTGCTGTACAGTACGAACCCACCAATGTTCGACCACAACGACACAGACAGCGGCGAGACCGCAATGGCGGTCCTGCCCAGTCCGCCTTCTACTATTGACCCAGCGTCCCTCATGGAAAGCGGCGCATCGCTCTCGCCGCCAGAGTTCCCCGATAGCTACCTCCTGCCCCTGAGCGACCTGAAGCTCCTCACGGGACTGCTGCGAGTCGCCACGCGACTGGGCTCCGAGTCTGTCATGTGGGATCCGGCAGCGACGTCGCCGTTCAACCTGGGCGCGGGCACGCCGGTCGAGCAGCTGCCCACGACGTGGAAGCCGACGGCGGCGCAGGTGCTGGTGCCGCACCACCCCATCATGGATTTCTTGCCGTGGCCCGACGTCCGTGATCGGATTATTAACCTGTTCAGTCTACCCGACGGGGCGAGACCGCCTGCGGCACGGGGCCAGTTGGGCCTGGTCAACTTTGCGTACGATTTGGAGGATTCTAGCGAAGGGGCGCGTATATGGGGTGGGGATCCGTACGATGCGTCGAGCTGGGAGGTCGGCCAGGTCCTGTTTGAGAGGTGGTGGTTCTTGTTTGATAGGAGTGTAATTGCTCAGAGCAATAGGTGGCGGTCGTTAAGGGGTGCCAAGGCATTGGAGATGCGGCCGGGCAGTGTGGTTGACTTGACTGACGCCGTTTAAGCGTCTTGCAGGTTGTAGGCATATAGAGTGCATGTAGACCGACTGAGAGGCAAAATCAAGAGTCCAGCCAATGCTATTGGCATAATCACCCCATGAGCATTGCCAAGGATTAGTCTGGACTCGCCTGCGAACATATGAGTCGGAGAAAGTAAAGCTCCGTTTACTTCGAGGAAGATCCGTAACTACAGTCAATGCCGGGTCTGAGCTGAGACTTGCTAGGCATCAGCATCCAAGTCGCATCTCACGCAACGAACGAACGAACGGATGGGCCAGAAGAAGCATGCGTAGCCGGACTGAGGTTAGATGCGCGACATGCAGCAGACGGGTGGCCGGGCTAGTGCATGTAGTCGCGGAAGGCGAGATGCTTGGCCGGAGCTTATTGGCTTCGCTTGGAAGCAAGATGCGGAAGCAAGTCAGTCACTCCGAATTTCAATGTTCCGCAAGGAGGAAGGAAGAATTGCTGAATTCTCAGTGGCCGATCTGAAAGAAAAGCGTCGCGCGTACTGTGTTGTGCTATGTGTTAGTGTTACAAAGTACTTCGGAGCTTTGCGCCGTTGTCACCGTCGGACTCGGTTGCAGTGATCTGGGGATATCGGTCGTTGGTGTGACGGGGAGCTTTACTACGATGGCCCGATGTAGTATCAGAAGCTTTCCGATGGACCAACTTTATCCAGTTGAGAGGCAAGACACAGAATGCCATCCCTCGCTTTTACAGGACTTTGTTCCTCTCTGCCATGTGAATGACTGACTGACCGCGAGGGAAAGTGACCAGCGGGCGTCATTCCGAAAAAGGGTTCCCGGGATGTACTGCCCAACAAGCCTTTGCGGCGACATAGTTTATAGTTTTGGGCGAAGGACTTTGGTGTTTTGATCTTCCCGTTTTTCCCGGTTTCCCGTTTCCTGTTTCCCGAGATTTGGGAAAATGTTTTGTTGGTTTAAAGAAACGTGAGCCAACGGGTTGCAGGCGTTTCAGCGAGAGATCCGCCAATCATACCAGTCGACAACCCCCATCCGTGTGTAATCACGTAATACGTGGTAGAAACTAAAACACAAAAGATCGAGTAGCAGAAGGGTGCGGTATCTGGAGAAATGGAGACCCTTTCTTGGAGCTATGCTGCTATGGAGGCTTTTGGAGGACGAACAGTCGGAGACGGGTGGACTCCTGTGTGGAGCGCGCGAGGCGCCAGAGGCTGGAAGTGGCCGACCGCCGACGACGGACCCGAGGGCGGGAAGGGAAGGCCCTGCTTGGATTAAACTTCCACGGTGCGAAAGCGGCTGGCTTGGTTGGTGTGTGGTGGTGGGTGTGTGTGTGTGTATGTCGGGGAAGCATGAGAGAGGGTTGTGACTTTGTGAGGGTGCAGTGTACCTGACGTAGGTCGTCCCGTCTGGCGGTGAAGGGATGAGGCGGGCGAGAAAGTATCCGGTCCTTTCGTCACCTCAGGCACATGCCATTAGGACACCTGTTACAGTCACTAATGTGAGTCCCTGCCGCAAGGGACTTTGGAACTGATGATATTCACTCACAGAACGACCTTATTTTGTGTGATGAGAGCGCAGATGAGTGAGACGGATATTCCAAGAAACACAATGTTTTCGTACCTTACAGAGTGAGCACCTCCATGGAGACTTCCAGGTTGACAGTTTTTCTGCCGCACCCCGCAGTTGCACAGGGCAGGAACGATCACCTCATCGATGGAGGGACACTGAGGGTGGTAAGGTGGGGGGGGGGGGGGACTCACTCACTCAATGGAAGTCTCATAGTCACTCTCACTCTCACTCTGGCTCTCACTCTTACTCTCAAGAGTCATGGAAAACTCGTGGTGCTCGGTGCGACATCCGTCCCTACCTTACCACCCTGGATGATGGATCTCTGAGAGGCCCAGTGAAATGTACCTGAGGTACCCACGTACCTCGCAATGGAGGGGCAGTCGCCAATCATTGGACCCTCTCATGCTTAGATTCCCTCCTTGTTCGGAGCTCTGATGCAGCAAAAGCGTGGGATCCAGCACTGGGAAGGGTAAGAGGGTCTGGAACTGGATGCCGCCCGTATCTACGTACCTTTACCCTCCGTCACTTCTCTTCTTCTTCTCCCCGGTCTGTTACTTTCCTGGACTTGAGCACTGAGGTAGCACATCTCGGCCGGTGCTGCAAAATTTCCAAACTTCTTCCCCCCTTCATACCTCGAAAGTCCAATTCCCTTCAAGTGCCTTTTTTCTTTTCTTGGGACATCTGGGAAATTGTCTACTGCGCAGATCCGGGGATCGGTGTGCTAGGAGAGACGTACCATACGCTTTTAGCCAAAGAGATTGTTTGGTGAGTTATTGACTTCTCGTTTCCCTTGCTTCAGAATGTCTAGACTTTTCTCCTGGCGTTCCTTAAACACGCGCCTTTTACCCCTCCACCATTCCATTCCTACCGCCCACCATTCCACTTCCACCCCGCTACTTCTAGCCTCTCCGACACTCCATCTCCCTTACCCAGGGCACTTCCGCGCCACTTCTAAATAGCTTCACTTTTCCATACGGGACTCTCGCTCCTCAAATCTGCTCTCCGTTTTTGCTTCCTCTAGTCAATTGAGTCTGACAAGCTTGCTTCTAGCACCCGGCGATTCTAGCGAGCCCTTTGGCGGCCATATTTCCACCTGTGCTCTGCCTTTAAACCACTCAAAAACCTTCCACCCACACAACCGCCAATATGCACATCAAGGCTATGCTCGACGAGTCCCGGAGGACGGGCGAGCCCTCCTTCTCCTTCGAGTATTTCCCTCCCAAGACGGCTCAGGGTGTTCAGAACCTCTACGATCGTATGGAGCGCATGTACCACTTCGGTCCCAAGTTCATCGACATTACATGGGGTGCTGGCGGCCGCATCGCTGAGCTCACCTGTGAGATGGTCCTCCAGGCACAGTCCATCTACGGTCTCGAGACATGCATGCACTTGACTTGCACCGACATGGGCCTGGAAAAAGTCAACGACGCTTTGCGCAAGGCCTACAAGGCTGGTTGCACCAACATCCTTGCCCTGCGTGGCGACCCCCCGAGAGAGCAGGAGAAGTGGGAGGCCACCGACGACGGCTTCCGCTACGCTAAGGACTTGGTCAAGCACATTCGTGCCACCTACCACGACCACTTCGACATTGGTGTTGCTGGCTACCCCGAGGGCTGCGACGACAATAAGGACGAGGAGCAGCTGCTGGACCACTTGAAGGAGAAGGTCGACATGGGCGCTACCTTCATTGTCACACAAATGTTCTACGACGGCGACAACTTTGTTCGCTGGGTCGGCAAAGTTCGCGAGCGTGGCATCACCGTCCCCATTATTCCCGGTATTATGCCAATTGCCACCTACTCCAGTTTCTTGCGCCGCGCCAAGCACATGAACTGCAAGGTGCCTGAGGAGTGGATGGCTGCTCTGGAGCCCATCAAGAATGATGATGTTGCTGTCAGAGAGGTCGGCAAGGGTCTGGTCGCCGAGATGTGCCGGAAGATTGTTGCTGCTGGTATTCACCACCTGCACTTCTACACCATGAACCTGGCCCAGGCCACCAGAATGGTTCTCGAGGAGCTCGAATGGATGCCCACGAGCGACCGCCCTGTGAAGCATGCTCTTCCCTGGAAGCAGTCCCTGGCCCACGGACGCAGAGAGGAGGATGTACGCCCCATCTTCTGGAAGGGTCGTAATAAGTCTTACGTTCTTCGTACCCAGGACTGGGATGAGTTCCCCAACGGTCGCTGGGGTGATTCTCGGTCTCCTGCTTTCGGTGAGCTGGATGCCTACGGCATTGGCTTGACAGGTACGAACGAGCAAAACAGAAAGAAGTGGGGCGAGCCCAAGTCAGTCAAGGACATCGCCAACATCTTTGTCCGATACCTTGAGACGGAGCTCGACTCTTTGCCCTGGAGTGAGGCACCTCTCACTAGCGAAGCCGATCCCATTCGCGAAGAGCTCATTGGACTGAACAAGCGTGGCCTTCTGACCATCAACTCTCAGCCTGCTGTCGACGGCGTGAAGTCGACCCATCCAGTACACGGTTGGGGACCGGCAAACGGCTACGTTTACCAGAAGGCTTACCTCGAACTTCTCGTCCACCCAGACGTGTACCACGAGATCGTTTCTCGCGTCGAGAAGAACCCTGACATGACTTACTACGCCACCACCAAGAACGGTAACCTGAAGTACAACGCCTCAAACGACAGCCCCAACGCCGTTACATGGGGTGTCTTCCCGGGCAAGGAGATTGTCCAGCCCACCATTGTCGAGGGTATCAGCTTCATGGCCTGGAAAGATGAGGCTTTCCGCTTGGGTATTGACTGGGCACACTGCTTCGAGGCTGGGTCTCCCAGCAGAACCCTTGTTGAGCGTATCATGAACGAGTGGTACCTCATTAACATTGGTGAGTATTGCTCATCAGTTTGTTCATACCGAACAAATATGCTAACATTACCCAGTGAACAACGACTTCCACCAGAAGACAGCTCTCTTCGACTTGCTCGAGGGCCTCGAGGTCAAGGAATACAGCGACATTTCGGCTGAGCCTCAGACAAACGGAGCCGTCAAGGAGCAACAAGCCAACGGCAGCGCTCCTGCCGCCGCAGTTGCGGCAAACTAACGAACGATTCATTCTGACTTGTGTTTAACACACCCCCTTTACTACTATTTACTTAAGTATGCATCATGAGCGGCGTTTTCAACAGGGCAAAAGGGGGTCAACTTTGTTTTTTCAACAAAAAACTTTTTGCAAGTGGGCATGTTTCTGTCCACAGCATTACAGCGGTAAATGCATGAGGTGAAACCAAAAACCGAACAGACAAATCACACCGCACCACACAACAAAAGTCAAGGAGAAGAGGAAACGGACAGGAAGGGAAAGCAACGGAGCAAATGCATATATCTCAACGATACCCCCATACAAACGGACCACAAGTTTCTTTTCCCCAACGAGAAGAAAAAGGTCCGGGAGAACCACACAAACAACCAGAGAGCAAGGAGTTTCAACACGGGTCTGTTTTTTATTATTTATATTTAGAGACGAATTCTCTTTTTATTTGTCACAAGCGTTCGGAATTCTTTTTTCACGTTGGATAGCAGCAACACACGCCGTGTATGCTATGGAATGAGGGAAATGACGACGAAACGCAAGAAGGAGGGGAAAGGATTGATCACGACTGCAGCAGGAGGTGACTGCGGCGGATCGGAAAAGGGGGGAGATGAGTTGGTGAGGATGGATGGAGGGAACTTGTGGACTAGTATCGTCGTCTAGTCTATCTTCAGAGCCAAATCAACTTGGGCTTGACTGTTTCCTCAAACTACACTTCTGGCGTCTTGTCAAATTGGTGATGCGCTCTACTGTGATGAAAACTACATGGAACCGTGTTCACGACGAAACTAGGGGTGATAGGGTAAAGAGTTTTCATCTGTGTCAACTTGCTCTCCTATCTCTGTTCTCGCTGTCTTCGCTGTTGTGGGTAGCGAAATGACCATTATCGCTAGCATGCGTCAGCCTCCGTTGGCATTGTACCTCGATCCCTCCCCAATCGCTTCCACGCTCCGTCCACAGAGCGCGTCTTGAATCACCACCCCTTCATCTCAGGCGGCGAGTCAATGATCAGCTAGCTGTGTGCCACACTCACCCTCCACGTCCTGGCAATCGCACCCAAACTCCTTTCTAAACGCCTCCCTATCCATATCTGTAAACTTCGTAATGGCCATCTTGGCAACCGCAACCTTGGCATACCGCCCGCTCGCAGCCGTCGCGTGGAAGTACACCTGCCCGTGGATCATGATACCGCAGAGCACCTGCGTCTCGGTGATGACGCCGGCGCCGGCCTCGATGGGCGGCACGACCTCGTTGGTCATGAGGCGCCAGCCGTCGCAGCCGAAATCGCTGCGGAGCATGTGCGAGACGTTGGTGACGGGATGGTTAAGGGCGTAGTCGCTGTAAAGGGACATGTCGGTGAAGAAGGGCCGGACGTGGGCTTCGAAAAAGGCGCGGACTTGGTCGTAGTTGTAGCCCGAGTCGACGAAGACGGCGCCAATGTACGCCTCCATCATATCGGAGAGGTATTTGGGCGCATCCTCTACGTGTTGCCAGTAGCTCACCGGAGCGGCCTTAGCCGCCGTCACCTCTTTTCCTTGCTCTCCATCAGTGGGAGCTCCATTGTGACCTTGTTCCATCAGAGCTTCTTCTCTGGCGCTCTCTTCGGCAAATCTAAGGGCAGCGACGAACTCTTGAGTCTGACTCAGCAACGAAGCCTGGGCCGTCAAGATGTGCTTGTGAAGCTCCAGCTTCACGCAGAGGCAGGCCAGGAAGCGATTGCTGACCATGGTACTCTTGTGGCGGGTTAGCCACTCGGGATCAGCGCTGGGAAACTTGTGGTAGAGGAAGTCTACGCAGACCATGTCGAGCAGAGCATCGCCGAGGAACTCGAGACGCTGGTAGTTGGGCAAAGAGCATACATTGTGAGGGCACGACGGATGCTTAAAGGCACTTCTCAGCAGCGCGGGTGACTTGAAGTCGTACCCCATCTTATTCTTCACCTGTCTGGCCACATCTCGGTACATCGCGGAGGCTGGCTCTACCTGCCACGATGGAGGCTTGTATTCTGCGTAGTAGTCTGCCCACGAGGTCATGCGCTGGTTCTTGTCGTTCACCATGGCGCTGACTGCCCGAATTGCCATGTCGAAGTTGTTCGAATCGCTGAACGTGAGATAAGCTGCGCCGATCAGGGCTTCACAAACATCAGCGATGGATTTGTCCGCGAGAGCGTGTTTGGCATCAACAATGCCTTCCTTGCCTCGGATGAGACGGAGACCCTGAGGGTACCAGCTGCGACGGTTGAATGATTTTGATCGCACGTACTCCTGTAACTTCCGGTCGATAGCCTTATTCAGGAGGTTTCGGTTGCTGATCAACAGCATCCGCTCGACATGGTATTGGAACTCATTGCTGTCCGGATTGTTGGTGAAGAGGGCAATGGTGGTAGCCATCTTCAAGCAAGTATCGCCAATGAACTCCAGGCGCTCGTAATTGTTGCCCATTCCCCCTTGGAAGTTAATTTTCTCCGCGTCGTGCTCGTCACTGTTGTCAGAGTCTTTGGTGACGGCTTCGAGGGCCAAGTCGGGCCGGATATCGAGCTTGAGCAGTTTGCACAAGTCGAGTGCAACCATGACCTGGTCCATGCGATGAATGATGGCAGGAAAAGTGAATGCCATGACGACTGTCTCCATGGGTAACTAGGTATGATCGTTAGATTATGAGTTCGGTTAGAGAGGAGCTGAACTTACAGTCGAGACCCTCAAGGGCTCTAATATCACGTAGCAGACCTTGGACCCTTCATTTGTGACCTCTACGAAGTCATCCAGCAGGTTGCGTCTCAGCGAGATCACTTCAGCCTCGACCACAGGCTGTGTATCGCGCCATGTTCGCTTCAGACGGCTTTTCATCCAGAGACTCACACTGTACTCCTTGATATTCTTCTCCACCGCCAAATCGCGCCAAGGTCTGTGGCAAGGGTCAGGAACGCCCTCGGGCACGGGATCCATTGGCTTCAGGTCTTTGCGAACTCCCCTTAAGCGTAGCTTGCGAGATCCCGCGCAAGGATCGACCACGAGCTTGTTGGTAAAGAACTCATCTGAGGTGCTGTTATCCCAGTCCAGGTATTCTTTGTCCTTGGTCGCTTGAAGGTGATTCCAGTCAATTAGTGTAGCTGCGTCCGCATGTTGATAGTCGACGAAATGACTCTGTGTGGTCGGAGCGAGCAAGTAAGGCATATCGCAGACCATAGCTTCGTATTCTTTGCTGAAAACATCCTTGAAAACACGAAGAGTGAAGGTCTTTAGAAGCTCTGAATCGGCGGAAGAAATATTGATTGGCTTCGGCAGGGACACTGCGAAAGCATCAGACTGCTGATCGTTCCCAAAGAACAGTGGTATAGGAGGAAGGTCAGGCAACTTCTCTCTGGTTAGGAGAAGCAGCGGCTTCGACACCTTGTCTTTGCCAACTGCGTCTGGCGAACCAAGTACTAATACCGTAACAAATAGTTGATCGAAGGCACCAACTCGTGACCATATTTCAGGCTTGGTACGCATCTTGTACTCTGCCTTTTTGTTGGCACTGATTGCTAGGCGGGCATTGCGCATTGCAGGCAGCTTCTTGGTAAAGATTGGCTGTAAATTGAGATCAATGTACTTCTTCCTGATCAGCTCCTTGCACAGCTCAAACGCCGCAGAACAGCGGGCAGACTGCTTCCTCTTATGTGGCATTCCTGTCATGCTAAGAATCGGGGACTGCGCCGGTAACTGAACCTCGGCGATGAAAGATTGTCCCTGGTTGGTCACCACATACTCTGGCATCAAGACTTCATCGCTGGACTGGCGCAGCGATGATGCGAAGTTGGCCAACACCTCCAAGCTAGACATCCACGTCAGCTTGGCGCCAGTCTCCTTGATGGTGTAAGTTTGATAGTGCAACTCTCCCTGCAGTATAGTAGCGTTGATGTCCATGCCCATGACCTTCTTGTCCTCTGGCAAGGCACTACAAAAGCGGCGGAGGACGCTTTGGTCATATGTGGCCTGCGCTATCGCTCGGGTATGTCTTCCATTACCAATCTCAACGAAGGAGAGGTATTCTGAATCTTGCTGTCTTGCGCGTCCCTTCGACTGAATGTACTGAATGACGGACTTGTAAAGGTCAAATCTCATGACCACATTGCAGGCAGGAATATCTATTCCCTCCTCAGCAACTTGGGTAGAGAAGATGCAATTGACTTCACCCCGCCTGAACTTTGTGATGGCCAAAAGCTGTTCCTTGAATGACATGTTGGCGAGACCTGCAGAGGACTGACTGCCGACGAGTGCTGCCGGCTTGAGGTGTGGCAAGTCCATGCCGTCCTGCCTGAACAACTCGGCGAGCAGCACTGCGGTGAGTCGCATTTCCACGAATACGATGCACCGATAATCAGTGGGCTGAGAAAAACGGACCTTCAGCTCGTCCCAAAGACGAAGGACCTTGCTGGATACATCATCCAAAGACAGCGTGGGCGGCTTAAAGTTGTGACTTTGGATGATATCTCGAAGCTTTTGAACTGCCGCTGTATGCATGCCGTTACCGTCGAACCCCGAGTAGTTGATATCTGTTCTGTTCGCCAGTCGCGCAATCGTGTTGTCTGTAAGGTATAGCTTCCAGAAGCGATCTGCTACCCAGGGACCGAGTTCCGCCATGGCGGTGGTAGTCCATTGCAGCTCCTTTTCAAAGAGCTGGTTTCTGCGGACGAGTGCTCGTATCTTCTGCACGAGTTCTGATTCAAAAGATCTCATCAGAGGGGTATAGTGGATTTCCCTCTCTGTAATCTTCCGCTTGTTGGGATTCAAAGACAGCGATTCCTCGGAGACAGTTGCAATTTCGCTATGGAGGAGGCACTCTAGCTGAGCAGTAGCAACCTTCATGTTCGTCTGGGCGTCAACCGGAGACGCAGTCATGCCGAGAATTTTGGGTCTCTTCTCCTTGTCGGACTCCTTGATGTAGAAATCCTTGATGATGCGCGCGTAAGGATGATTTTTCTTCGTATGATGTGCCTCGTCGAAGATGAGGAGGTTGATCTGGTCCATACGAATGTAAGAGTGCATCAAGCATTTTTGCAAGATGGCCGCAGTACAAACAACGACCATGTTCTCTTCAAACTGTTTGGCCCAGAACTCGCTTGACCACATCTCATCAACCATGTCGCCGCAGTACCGGGCGACAGTATGCTCCAGGTTGCACTCGAGAACCGCGTGCTGCTGAAAGACCAGCGACACCTTGTCAACCTGCATAAAGAGGTTAGTTTGAGGACAGTCGCTGGCCAGCGGTCCACTAGGGCTTACCAGAAAGAAAGCTGTACGTTTCGGCTTTCCTACTGCGCGGTCTTCGACCTCCTTCTCAAGTATGTGACGAAGCAGAAGAGCGGCAATCAAGGTCTTGCCGGTGCCCGTGTCCAGGACTGCAATGATGTTCTTCTGTTTCGCTCTTTCAAAAAGCTCGATCTGGTATTCGCGGGGAGTCTGAATGATTCTTCTGTTCTCACTTTCCTTCACCAAGTGTGCAACAGATCCATGAGTCGGAGCCTTGGTCTTTGAGGCTGCCTCAAGCACCTTGGCTTGATTCGATTCGATCCAAGACTGGAACTTGGCGTGGTCCTGACGCTTCTTCTCCGAGATCTTTCGTGGCCTCTCAGGGTTGACACTCCAGCGACGATAGTCATCTTCATCATCATCCTCCTCTGCCTGATCCTGCTCGTCGACGCCGTCTGTGTTGAGAATGGGTTCATGACTGGAGGAAGTAGCGGTTGAGTAGCTCGGAGAGGGTAGCTCGGTAAAAATCTCTATTGCCGGGCATGTTTCTCCTAGTCCGGTCGTTGAAGGCGGCTTATGGCTTCTCTGTACAGGCGTCGAGGGCTTTGAGGGAAGGGGAGTCAAGTAGAGCTCCCCCAAACCGTCGATGAGAGGCCAATCCCCAATTCTTTGACGTTTGGATGTCTCCATATCTGCGCGAATACTTTGTGAGACGGGTTCTGAACCTCAACGTCGTTGTTGGCAACTGAATACAGTCGCGGATGAGGGCGTTGAGTTATCGGGAGGTAGAAAGGATGCGTAGAAAGTGTGCGCAAAATAATTGGGAATAGAGTGCGACACCAGCTCGGATCAACTCAGAAGAGGATGGCTCCTTCTCAAACAACTCCGTCTCTGTTCGAGGTAGCGGAAGTGCGCCAAAGTCAATGCCAATCATCAACTCCGCCGAATTGAAGGAGAAGCAGGTCACTACAGGATGTAAGAAAAATGGTATGAGTTGAAGAGTCTCGATAACTCATGAAGAAGGGCAAGTAAAGAAATAGATACCTCTCAGTGAGACAAGTTTCACCTCAAACCATGTCTCTAGGGTTGGTGATATCTGGCTCAGTTGTGGCGTCTCATGAAGTGAAGGTCGGAGGGGTGAAGTGAAGTGGACGTTGTGGAGGGAAACCCGAGGGAAAGTGATAGTAGAAGGATACGATATGAGAAGTCGAGAAAACTCTGGCCGTCTGCCTTCCGGTATTTCCACTCAGGAATGGAAGGTGTGAGTGCGAGAAAAGTTGGGGAAGAACCCGCTCCAAAAACCCGGGACGGCGCTGTTCCCAATGGTGACTTGACTCTCAACGAAACAAAGGTGTTCACAACGAAACTGAACCAGCTTCGAAGGAAGTTGAAGTTCTTGATTTCAAGAGCAGAAACGGCATTGAGAATCAAAATGCTGAGATAGAGCTTAGAAATCAGATTAGACTCATGAGAGTGGAAAACATAAAGGAAACTCCAGTTTACATCTTTCCTCCGATTGTCGCCGGCATAGCGCGGCAAGCAGCATGAGGCAAGCAAACGGGTCAAATTGTGTGAGGATTTCGTCCAGATTCACGATGAATTGAGATGCAAATAATGCCTATGGAGCTCGGCGGTAGATCCTTTCAACGAAATCTAATCATTTACCCTCGAATCATCTCAGTATCTGGAAAGACGTCCAAGTGACGACTCAGGCAGAGATTGAAGCATGAATGCTGCTTCATCTGGTGAGCTGTCTCTCTTGAAGAGTTGGCGTTTATAAGCTCATCACATCCAGGATGCTGTTTGTAAGTATCAGGTACCGTGGTACCTTGCCCTTTGGTCATGAGCTCTGCCGACATGGACCCCTGTTATTACCCCACCTTCCATCTCTCAGCTGCCCCGCCGCTGCCGTGAGGGAGCACTGTCCTGGGTGGGAGGTGGTGGGTGGTCCCTTAGATAAGATAAGGACCCTTGCCCAGAATGCAAATCGCCACTCAACCTAAGGATTTGGAACGACGGAACCTAACGTTTGGCGCCAGTTCTCGATGGCCTCTTCTAAGCGCAAAAAGGCGAACCGTTGCAGTAGATTCCAAGCTAGCTACAAATCCATCAAACGCCACAGCTTATGATACTTTGATCGTCGCTGCAGCTTGGTTTTACTACATATCTTGTCGGGCCACAAGTCTCCCCTTCGAAGCTTTTCTTCTCGTATTCCCTGCAACTAGTCGCAATTCCCATTCTCTCCCAACCCCTCCACCCCTCCATTCATCCCCACTACTTACCAAGCAACAAACGACGCCTTCGACGAACACCTCCCAACAGCCAACAACTTCAATCCGAACAGCGACCATGGCAGACGAGGACCAACCCCAGACACTCAAAACTGTCTTTACATCTGCCGAGAGAAAGCGCCTCACCCTCGAAAACTCCTACGAGGCTTCCTCTCCGACCTACCTCGACGACCTCCAAACCGCCATCGCAGAGTACGAAACATGCCTCGACCTAGTTTCCCGCGCCGCCCTCTTCTCCTCCAACGAGTCCCTTGAGGACCTCTCCACCTCCTCGCTTCCCTACCTCCTCATCACATACCACCTTGCCGAGCTGCACCAGAAGCTCCCCTCCCGCCGGCCCATCGAGCGCCGCGTCGCCCTTGAGCGTGCTCGCGAGTCCTACGAGACCTTCCTCGGCGCCCTCGACTCATACGACCTCCTGACCGACACCAACAAGATGCTCTACGAGCGCTACACTGACGAGCCCCTCGCCTTCTCCACCCTCGGCACCAACGACCCCGCCAAGCGCCGCGACGCCAAAATCGCAAACTTCAAGTCGGAAAAGGCCCTCAAGGACCGCCTTGAGGCCCTGCGCCGGAACCCGCGCTACCAGAACGAGGACGGCGACGACGAGGTCGCCCGTGACCTGCATCTCGCGCACGTCGCGTACTCGGCGCACATGGCGTTCCAAGGGCTCGAGGGTATCAACCGCGAGCTCGAGGTCCTGGCCCAGGCCACGGTGCCTCTGATGCCTTCGCCGACGTCTGTCGAGGAGGACGAGCGCCGCCGCACCGAAGATCGCGGCGCCGCGGGATACACCGAGCGTCTCGAGCCCCCGCGCCGGCTGCAGAGCATGTTTGGGCAGGGGGGCCCCATATTGTCCACGGAGGGCAAGCCGCTGCAGCCGTTCACGCTCGTCGGGAACAGACAACAGATGACCAAGGATGTCTTCCGCCCCGGTCACAATCTGCCTACGATGAGCATCGATGAGTACCTCGACGAGGAGGCGCGTCGGGGCGGCATCATCGAGGGCGGCGGCGACGCGAGCTGGCACCGCCCGGAGCCCAACGAAGATGACTTTGACAAGGCGGACGAGGAGACAATGAAGGCGAGAGCGTGGGACGAGTTTGTTGAGGCGAATCCAAAGGGTTCAGGAAACACGCTGAACAGGGGCTGAGGCTAAGAAGTGGGATTAGGCATGGGGATTCGGGCAATCGGACGGGAGTATGTAATTTGGAAGAGTTTGACGCATAGACCAAAAAGAAAATAGGGAGGATACCACCGCGCATGACACGACGACGGCCTTGGGAGTTCACATTATGGTGAGAACGGCAAAAAGGCTTTACTGAATTCTTGTATTCAATACAGCAATATCAACATCTAACGCATTTGCCCAGACATCCGGTCTCATCTGTGCTGCCCTATATGTGGGCCAGTGTCATCAACCGCAGACCCCTTTTTTGTTCCCTGTGTAATCGCCAGTATGATCTGCCACCCTGGCAATCGTAATGCAAATTGTTAGTACTCCGCCAAAACGCCTCAGACAAATCCCAAGTCCACATCGTCATTCATGAGTATTGGTTGACCCCCGCATTTCCAATGCGATGATCTAGACCATAACTAAATCATCGTCGTCGTCAAGAAGGGAGGAAGAAGGAGCAGTGTTCTTGGAAGAGGACGCAGCGGAGGCCGGCTGGTTCTCGCAAGACGAGAATGCCGTGCGAGCACCGGATCCCTCAACGACGTACTCGGGAGTCGGTTCGCGGGAGCGGCTGTCCTCTGGACCAACCTCCGTCATGACCTCGTCGTCCTCGTCAGCGTCGGTATCGAAGTTGATGCTGGTGCCTGTGTCCGACTGGTCCTGACTCTCATCGAGGACCATCGTGCTCATGGCCTCCGCCACGGACTGTCCGTCTGCGGGGACGGTGAACTTGGCGTTGCCGTACTCTGAATCCCCGTCTGTGAAGGACTCTGTGCGAATTGAGACGTCGTCGGCGATGACCCTGTTCGGGTTGAAGACGGTCGAGATGCCGTCTTGCACGTCCACGCTGCCAGGTCCAACGGTGCTACCGCTCCCCTCCAGACGAAGCTGTCTCAAGACGCTGCTCACCGAGCCCGAGGTGCTAGAGGCATCCGAGGGGATCGTAATGCCGGTGTGGTAAGCCGGACCCGGACCCGCTGGACCATAATCGGCAGGAGGCAGGGAGTGCTCAAACACACCTCCGGTACCGTCGTCGTTACCGCCGGCCCAGAGAGGTAAGAACTTCAACTCGTTGTGGTGCAGCTTCAGCAGCAAGTGCGGCGTCAAGTTCATCCTAATCTCGAAGTCGGCACGGACGCATTCCTGATAGAACGGTTTGAGGAAGTCCTGGAGGGGTTTTTGGAATTCACGGGTGTCAAATGCGTATCTGTAGGCGCCCATCATATCCAATTCGCGGGTGTCGAACGGGTTCTTCATGGAGAGGGGGCGGGGGAGGTTCAGGACCGCCATCCAGGCACCGTCCCAGGCGAACTCGGGGTGCGCAACGAGAACCTCTTTCAAGTGCTCCCACAAGGTCGTGACCAACTTGTACACGTTCATTTGGCCCGAGGCGCTTGAAGTGAATATCTCGGATAGAGACGTCCACTTGTTTCCGACCGTCTCGTACATGAATGTGCACAGAGCTTTCTGCACATTGTTGAACTGGTTGTAGATGATTTCGAAGCGGTTGAAGTTCTGAATGTCGACGTAGCTGGCTCGGTGGTCGTCAATCTTTTGGAGATCGTCGGCGTCGAGAGGCTTCCGGAGCACCTTGTAGACCACATGGTTTTCCCAGAGAGTCTTCAGCGTAAACGATACCGTCATCGCGGAGACCTTGGCTTTGACCATGGCGGGGTCGTCTGGGCAGCTCGAAAGCATGCTGATGAGGTTCTGCAACCGCAACCACTCCGGAATCTGCAGGTCGTCGAAGATGGTCTCGCTAACCAGCTGGTTGACGGGCCACGAGACGCGCTCGACCATGGCTCTGGCCGCGTGCTGGATGAGGTTGTTCAAGTCATCGCCGGGATCGTGGCGCTTGCGTCCAAAGACGGTGTAGGTCGCGGCCTTGGGCGTTCCCTTGACATCGGCGGCTTCTTCTAGAGCCAGCTCATTCACCAGGATCCGGAATGCTGAGCGGGTGACGGCGTCCAGCTTCAGAGTAACACCGAGCTGAAGACTCTCTTCGGGCAAAACTTCGATGAAGGAGGTATTATTGGGAGAGGTGATCCATTGAAGAACGAGATCGCGCTATTGATCATGTTAGAATCAAACAAAATCAATAAGTGCGGCGAAGAAACTCACCACGACAGGAGTACAGTCCAAAATATTGGCAACTGCCACCAGGGTCCACACTCGAGCGGCCGAATCGATGAAGACTCGCTTGTTTGCAATGATGCACATGAGGCGCAGAATGTTGACGCGATGGCGGATGGGGCAGTAGTCCGGGATACGTCTATAGGGGGGAACCGCGGGAGCGGAAAAGTCTCCTCTAGACTTCTTTTCCAGAACCTTGGCAGCCAATCCCTTGTCCTCGCTGTACAGCCTCTCCTTATTCTTGCCGTTCTCTGGAATGACATCGCGCAGGCTCTCTCTGATGGCCGAACTGATGGCATACTCCATCTCCGGGTCCCGTTCCTTGTTCTCATCTCGGGACGCTTCGCTCGCTGAGATCTTGTCGATGATCGTGTTGAAGCTGTCGACCTTTGTCTCTTTCCAACAAGAGCAAATATCGTCATGGCCACGCACGACGTAGTCGTCTACATCGTGCTTGTCGAAGGCTGTCCACCAGTTCATGATGCCCGGTGTCAGCGAAGCTTCAGTCATCTGAAAGACGAGATCGTCGCCCTCGGAGGGGGGTGTAAGGTCCAAGACATATTTGATGCCCGGGGGAAGATTCTTGGCAATCTTGCGCCGACGCTGAACACGGAATTGGTAGGTGGGATTCAGCATCTCCGCGAATTTGGAAGATCCGGTGGCCAGGAGCTTCTCAGAGGGCATACGAAACCGGACCGAGTTCCATGCGTAGATGAAGCAATCAACGCTGTCTGCTGGGTTCGCAGGAGCAGGGAAGTCCACGAAAATCAAGGTATCGCCTTCGTTGAGTTCATTCTGGATGTCGTGGAGAATGAACTGGGAGTATCGGCGAGCCTGACTATGCGGCATGTTATTCTCAGTGGCGCGTGGTCCCCGCTGCGACTGTACAAAGGTACTGAAGGTATTGAAAGTCTGCGACGGGACATCAACGACTGCAAAGGGATCCGGGATATCAGTTGTCTCTTCGGGAGATGTTCCTTCACGGAATGTTGCTATAGGAAATAGCTCTGTAGCCAAGCGCTCAAGCAAAGGCTCCTCAGAAGATTGCTCTCGGAGCGCAGGCCCAACGTACGTGACACCGCGACCGGGCTCATCTTGAGCACCGCCCCGGCCGTCTTCTTGGTCCTCGTCCTGAGGGGCCTCCCACCAGTCCATGACTACAGGTGACCAGTCGTTTTCTGCAGCCGCTGGCGGCGCCTTGTTCTCGTCCGAGGCCATCGCTGCGACGAAATCAGGATATAGGCAACGTGAACTGAGTTGAATGCTGAGATGAGGAGGATCTGGTTCTCCAAGCTCTCACACCGATGATGACTGATACCAAACTAGCCGGGAGATTGACAACGTCAAAGTGAGAGCAGCAACCAAAGGGATGAGTGGCTTCTCTAGCAAGCGAAAATAGCTGGGCGAAAAAGCCTAATCGAAAGAGTTGGAGAATCGCAAGGCAATAAGTCCGCCAGTTCGCAGTCTGGTACCCAAAGATGAAGGTTGGCGGGGGTGCGTAGCCTTGTCCAGGCAGCAAAGTCTCAGGGAGTCAGATGCCACTCAGCGCGGTTCCAAACACCGCCGGCTGCCTCAGCCACGCGGCTATCCTACCAAGAGCGTCGAAGAGAGGATGGTTGGAGAGAAGCCGCTCGCGAGAATCGCTTGATGGATTGCGATGCTGTATGATGGTGGTTCTTGGGCAACCAAAATATGGTGGGATCAGAAGTAGAGGTAGGAAGCTGTGACAGTGAAGGTTGAGAGGAAGATGAGAAGCATGGATGGAGGGGTAAGAAAAGGCACCTTCACTGTGCTCCGGTGACATGAGACCGTGTCTAGGAATTATGCAGGCAACCAACGTGGCATTCTACCAAACTAGTTACAAGTGTTCGGACATTGGTACGGTGAGCAGACTGCGGGAATGAGAAAGATGACTGGATGACCAGGTATTAGGCAGGCAACCCGTGACTTGAGTGACTCTGCTGCAGGTGCAGAAATGGCTGGTATGTTGAAGTGCTTTGATCTGGCCCAGCTTACACCTTGTGAGGAGCAGGGACACAGCTGTGGCATTGCTTCCAGTACTTAAGGCACATGAAGATGGACAAAGCTCCCAGCATTCCGGGGTGGTCACATACAATAGAATCGAGAGGCAACAATTGGCAGCCAGTGAGTCTTTCAGAGCTTTCAGAGGGGAATGCAGAAAGAGGCCTATCTAGGCGGCAGAAGACGGCTATCAGCGGACCCCAAACACACTCCTGTTCCTTCTTCCTCTTCAAAGGAAATGAAGGTGATGCGGGACAGAGTTGATGAGCGCCTATCAGCCCAAATCAGGCAGTAGTAATTGAGCAAAGCCACGGAACTGTCACCCAATGTACTGGCAGGCCTCACTTCGAAGAGATGAAAAAAATTGAAAAAGTATCTACTCCTCGTGGCTTTGTAGTAAGGCGGCCTCTTTAAAAACCACCGCACTTAACCAAGGTTTCCCAAGACTCATCGATACTTTGGCCTCCTTGTCGCTGTTGCCTGCTCGAATGGCCAAAAGTGGGGGAAGCGGGTGACGTACCTTGTGCTTACCTGAGGTGCCTCCAAATACCACGCCCGGGGATCAGCTTTCAGCTCCGTTCCGGCCGGCCGGCGCTGTGTGGACCGAGAGCTGGAGGTCCGGTCTGCTTGGCCCCACTTCCAGACCGACCGGCTTGACAAAGCGACTCTTGAAAGAAGAAACTCAATCCCTTCTGTTGGAAAAATCTATTCTGCCTGATTGAAAGATACATCGAAGAAACGCCACCTCCTCTGTGCATTCACACTGAGCCAGGGCTCAATTTCGACTGGCAAACACAAGCATAACAGCATAAACACTTTAGCTGACCGCATGCCAGAATAAACGACAAGTGCAAAATACTATGTTCCAAGCGTATCGACGTGATGTCGTTACGGCTGTTCCTCTACGTTTCTCCATACTTCGTGCATTGATATCTGTCATTAGGAGCTTGCAATGGTGCTGGTACCCTTTTGATACCAACGGCTGATCGCATGTGCTTCATTTGTACGGCATTAAATAGAGAATTCTATTGATGGCTCACACAGTGAACGGGATGATGAAGAATTCAGAAGAATGGTCCCACTCACTGTCTAGGACCTAGATGCCTCAGCTTCCAGTGGTGATTAGTCGTCCGACTGATGGCTACCTACCTACCTTACCTTACTCACAGCACTCCGGGCTTCCTAAAAGAATCCAAATTTCAAGCTTACAACATCAACTTCTCAATTTTCTTCAACTCAAACAACATAATTTTCTCCCAAACTTTCCCGACAACTTTCACTCTAACGGACACGCAATTACTGGGAAACCTTTAGGGTGCCTCTGCCTCCAACCTTACAAACTCCTGCTTCGATGAATGATACCTCATCCATTGACTTACCATGTCGGATACACGCCCCAGATTCTTTAAAGTACCAGGGGGCTGGCTATGGAATCAAGAAGAACTCGAACGATCCATACGACCACCGCCACATGACTGCCCTGACTGTCAGATAGGGTACTACACCGAGAGCCAACAGCATACGTACAGCCATTCCTACCATCACAGTATCTCAGATACCTCTGCAACCAACACAGCGTCTACATACGTCAAAGCAATTCAGGAGAGCAGAAAGCACATCACCAACCGTCTTAGCTCCCATGCTGATCTCCTTATGAGCCGCTGGCGGAAGCGAAGCCAGGAAAAACGTCGCGAGCTACTGCACAAGGCCGTGCCTGAGCTCGAGGAGTCGCAGTGGATCAACTCCAGATACGGATATAGCGACGAGAAGTTTCGATACGGTGAGCGAACTGTGCAAAGGCGACGCCAACTCCTGGTTCCATGGCTCAATGTCGAGGTGCTCAAGACGAGCCCGGCCATCCTGTTCGCCCTCCTCCATTATCGGACTCTATATTCGCCAGAGGACTTCGCTCCGCTAGACTGTCGTCAGATGGAGTTATCGTGGACCTCTGGAAACTTTGATGTCGAATTCTCTGCCAAGTGCGTCGTCATGTCCGGACCGAGGTACGGCGAGATTGTCGACTGGGACGCCCAACAGGCGCACTCCGGATACACTCTGGGCTTTCCTCGCGCGCGACTTGTATTCGAGGCCCAAGTCTTCCTCATGGACGTTCTTCTTAGAATCACGGATGAGATTCTCGAGGGTCCAGATACTGCAAGTGCTAGTGCGAGGACGGATAAGTGGAGGGACCTCACGTCGATCGGATTCCAATACCCTGGGGAGACGGAGCTCTGGTCTCCCTACACCAATCCGGCCTTCTCTCGGCCTCCCAAGCTCGACATGGGCTACATCTTATCCATGGCCCAGACGCGCAAGGAAGAGGCAATTGACCATCTCATCGATCTTCAATGCGACCCAGGATATCTTCGCCGGCAAATCAAGGGTCTCTTCAGCACCACGCTCTTTCGCGCGGTAGTTACAGAGGACGTGGCAATGATGTTGGCTTACCATATCTACATGGAGTATCAAAGATACTACTGGTGGTACTGGATTGAGGTTGAGTGCAAGCATGTGCGGGATCTACACGACATATTTTCAGACAGTACGCATCCCGGCCAGACAATCACTCCCAAGTATGACCTGGCACTTGGTGCTTTGGAGCTTCTCCTCGCCGATCAAGTCCTAGAGCGGACTGAACGCTTCAGGTCTCTCATGCCCTGGTCTCCGGGACAGGCGAAATACTACAAACTGCCCAAGAGACCTGGCTTGTCCCTGAAAAAGATCCTTCGCGGCGTGTCGCGGGACTCGAATCCGGATACAAAGGAAGCTCTAGAGAAAGACCCGCTCGATTGGTGCCTCCATCAAATGGCGGGCAAGCCTGATAACCAGACACACATTGATCACGCCATACTCTTTGCAATGATTGACGATCATCTCGCCAAGAACAACAGAAAGGAAGCAGCCCGTATCGATGAGTTCCTCTTGCGCGAAATGGCAGACATTTCTGCCCTCCATGAGTCATTGATTTCTTTGCGCCTCAATCGACCTCGGAACACCTCCAGAGAATTTGAAGATGTGTGTCGGACGGAGAAGCGTGGAATGTGGAGATATGTAAAGAACGAGCCCAAAGAACACTCGTGGCAAGATTTCAAGAAGATGGGGAAGCCACTTGTAGACGGCTTCTACAAGGGAAAAGCTCCCAGCGGCGCGAAAAACAAGGCACGGCTGCAGCAAAGCCAGACTATGCGAGGCTTTGTCGAGGGATTCTTCAAGGAATTGGGGAATTGGGCAACTTAGTTCTGGAAGATCTCGAAGGAACTGGCCTTGAAGCGGAAACCATTGAAGAGACTCTGAGTGTTGTGCTTGTTCAGAACAAGCCAGAATATCTGGAAGCAATTTCTCGACAAGAAGAGGAGATCATGACCAAAATCACCGAGGCCGAAAAGCCTGCCCCCGACACCTTTCTAGACAGAAGCAGTGGAAGAGAGGGATCCATTCGAGCTGGTCTGGTCGAGACGAGTCATCGAGAGAAAATCAAGACCCGCCCCGATAATCCATCCTCGAGCGTCCAGCCAGTCGATGATCCGGAGTCACTCTACATCGCCACCCTTCCTATCGAGCCCGCCACCCGACTTCGCGTCTCCCCGCGCACTCTTGGAGTGGTCCACCTCATGTACCCTGATGCACAAACAAAGCCGAGAAACATCACATGGGATGACTTCGTACACGCTCTATACGATGCTGGTTTTGTTGCGAGCAACAACGGCGGTTCCGCGGTGCGGTTCGGGCGAGGATCCGGAGGTGATTCCGGCGATAAAGGGGCCATCATCTTTCACAAGCCGCACCCGGTGCTGAAGATCGATCCAGTCATGCTACATGGCATGGGAAGGCGGCTGACAAAGTGGTTTGGTTGGAGTCGTGACTCATTCGCTGCTTGAGATTCACAGGAGGGTTAGAAAAGAGTTCCGAGGTTGGATGAGGTCAGGCTCAAGGCATGCTGATGGAATCCAATGGCGGCTTCTTGTAGCACATGTACGAATAATCTTGGGGTTTGTCCAAGTCAAACTGCGACGAGGGGGGGAGATGAGGCGTTTCGTGATGGTAAATTTTAGGGTTTTATAGGATACGCTCTCCACCGTATGGTGTGCTGTTTACCCTAGGTACTTCACATTAAATCGTACTAAATTGCCAAAGGAATGCTCTAGATCAGCTCTATGAACTGACCATGGACTGGACGGTTAGGAGCCAACTTTTTCCAATTCTTGCTGATACGTTGCTTCCATGTCTGATTTTAACATTTGAAGATCTAAATATTTGCAACACATGCAAGTGATAATCTGCAAGGCACGTGCCTATGGGTGAGGTGATGGAAGTTGAAGGTCGGGTTAAGCCCCGGAGCGGACCCCGAATACCGGCCCCACTCATCCGTTCCCCCAAAAGCCGGCTGCCGAGGTAACATTCCGATGGATCGTGTCAGAACCATATCACTCTCCCCAAAATGTGATGACATTGACGAAACCTCGGTCACTCATGAATCATAGGTTGATAAGCTTATTCAACCCTGACTCACACCCCACGAATTTTCAATTGCCGCATCATAACGTAGGATTCAGGAAGCTCCCGCAGAAAAGCTTGTTCCAGAAGCAAGGTTAGGTTGCTCAGGCAAGGTAGCTTAGCTGCCCGCTGCCAAAAGGGTCGCTCCGAGCGCTGATGCATCCTTTTCATCCGAGCACCCTCCCTTCCAAAAGAGGAGAGATGGAAGGGGAGTAGGGGAGAAAAATGTTGGAAAGGACAGAATGATCCCCTGCCTTCAGGGTATCCCCGATGGGCAGTCGGTGTACATAAACTTAGTATCGTCAGTTCATTCTTATCCTGCATACACGTCGCCTCCCATTCCTCTCCCCCAGCTTCCCACAGCTTGAAGCTTCGAAGCTTCAGAGCACTCACTCCAGAGCTGCAGGTTTCCTGAGAGCTCCCCCACACATAGCAGAATCATCGACTTACTCGACAGCCTAGCAGGATTCTTATCAGTGTGGCATTGTTTCCAAGTTCTACTCCCTGCCCCCGCCGTCGGCTGAAACTTGGCCCAACTCTAAGACCAAACAATCCAAACCAGCGAAGCGCATGCTTCCGCATCACGCATTGGATGCATGCGCAACTTGCGTCTAGCTGCGCACACGTACCGCCAGTTGGCGCCGTCTCCAAGAAAGTCATCCAGTCTAAGGTACATTAGCAGTATTACACATATCTTACTACAGTAAAAAAAAAAAATCATCTCCCTTTTGTCCGAATACCTTCTGCTTCACTCGACGTCCCGAATCCATCCTCAGTCTTCTTTACATCCCCAGATACGCTTCGTCTTAATCTCTTCCGTCTATACCTGTATCAGTCAGGTCGTCCGTCCCTCAGCTATTGGTACTGACCGCCATTACCTTTTCAAAACCTGTGCCACCCGCAAAACCCCATCCCCCAGGATTAGGGTAGCTGGGCGCAGGTATCAATTTACCCCATAGACAAGGTCTCGGCTCGGCTTCCAACCCAACACCAGCCAAGCTCCAAACCCCAATCGTCCAATCACATCCCCTGACCCCAGAAATCAGATACCGCACCGCCCGCCGCCAACCTGCGTGTCCCGCATGTCGCGTGTCCCCCTTCCCCCTCCATGTCTCCGTGCCTTCAGCTCCCTCCCCCGCCAAAGTTCTCACACGCCACCATCAGCAAAGCACCGTACCGCTGCCCACTGCCCACTAGGTATCCCATCGCCACCGGCTCCAGACCAACGTACCACCCACTCACACTGCCTCTACCTTCCACTTCCGTCTCTCCCTATTCGCAGCAGCAGCCCTTTTGTCCCTGTCCCTTTCCCTTTCCCTTGACCGCACCACAAAACCCATACCACGGCATTCGTTCCTCTCGTCAAACCCACCCCTCTCAGGATTCCCATCACCGGTCTGTCAGTCTCAGGGTCTAGACACAAACACGCTCACACTCTGCTGATCCGAGCCACAGTCAGTCAAAGTCGCAGTTCCAGTTCCTTTGTTCTTATACTTATCGGTATCTTACCTTAGTAATAAGTACCCCAAGACAAGACAGACTACCTTACCTACCTATCAATCGTCCGATCCCCAAGCTTCCTATGAATACAAACGCACACACCAAGCGGCACTAGTGACATCTTCCCCGTCCTTCCCCAACAAAAACACTTTGTGTGTGTGTGTGTGGGTGTACCGATGATGCCTCCCCCTCCCCTCCCTCCCTCTTCCTCTCCACGTATGCCGCCGCCGCCCCCCGGCAAAGCTGGGGAAGAACCTACCTTAGCTAAGAGGCTAAGAGCTATCGAGTATGTCGAGTCGTCTACTTAACTGGAGACCCCCCCCTCCTCGATCTTCTGCTCATTGACCTATACTTAATTTTGCCATTACCACCTCGAAACGTGAAATACCATCGTGAACAAATCAATTATCCTCAGCCAATCCCAGCCAACTCTCATACAGCAAAGATATCTACCTACCTGTCGTCACCATGCAACCCAAAGCTGCAATGCCCGTCCCTCAGATCCGCCCGGCAATGTACGTCTCCCCTCCTCCCTCACTCACTCCCTCTTAAAAAAAAAAAAAAAAAAAAAAAAAAAAAAAAAAAACCACCGACATTTCCCGCCGAAACCCTCATTGTCCTCGTTATCCTCATTTCATTCTTAAACCATGAGAGAAAATAAAGCTTACGTCCCTAATACGCAGCCGCCACCGAGGCCTCATCGTCGTAACCGCAGCCGTCACAGCCGTCGCCGTAAGCTTCAGATACACCGCCCTGTCCCGGAGAACAAACGACCAGAACCAGTGCTCCAGCAATCCCTACTACGTCAGCGTCGACCGGAGCGGCGGCGGGATCTAGAGTCTAAGAAACCCTCGAGTTTGGAAAAAAAAAAAAGACAAAAAAAAAAAAATACACACAAAACCATATACCCAAACGGTTACGAGACACGGATTGGTTCGGTATAAGGGGAAACTGGGAATAACGTACCTTAATGAGTATTGTCACGGCGTACCTCACAACTCGCCGCAAACGAATCACATTTTTAAACGGTCGTACCTGAGGAGCATATCAGTTGGGGGCGATGATCAAATTGACTTTTTATGTAAAGTATGAATACAGGAGACTTGGATGATCTGTAGTGGGATGGGGCACTCAGATTCAATCCAGAACCAGATCTATCAAAACAACAGACCAAAAATTCCACAATCATTACTCAATCCACATGTCCAAATGCAATCGCAGCCAGCTAACGATGTATATGTGGCATGACTCGAAAAAAAGACAACAAATAACACAAATTAAGAAAGGCCGGGAAAACAATAATGAACAAAATACAACGAACCTCTAGTAGAGAGGTCACAAAATCGTCTCTTGGTTCCAAACGCCCCAGCGATGCGGATGCCGGTAATCACCAACCATGACCTTGGTATAGCGCGCCGGAAAATGCCCAGCAAAATACAAACCGCGACTCCCCTCCCCTTTTACATCGAGCTTCGCTTCGTCGGTCCCATACCCGGACCCTCGCTGTCAGACTCGTCGCCTGAGGAATGTGCCGGCTCCTTACCCTTGCCCTTTGGCTTGTCCAAGGGGCCCAAATTGCTCTTACGGCTGGCCGGGCGTTTGCCCGTCGTCCTTCTCACCATCTTTGGTCTATCGCCGCCTCCCTCTTTTTGTCTTGCGATTTCGGGGCTTGTCAGGCCAGCAACCTTTTGCAGCTCCTCGCCTGATGAGTTGCGGCGAGTGGTAGGCGCCGTCGAGTTGGACGTCGTCTTCAGCCCGCGAAGCTCCCTTGCGACGTCTGCGAAACTCTCTTCCAGAGTCTTCATGCGCGCCAGGACGAGCTTGCTCATCCGATTGCTGTCACCCGCATCCTGGCCTCGTCCCGCACCGCCTAGGCGCGCATCCTTCATCATAGCCATAGCCATCTGTGTTTGGAAGCTCGAAGGCATGCCTCCAGTTGGGTCATCAGGAACGATGTTTTCGGACAAAATACTCATGTCAACCGAAGACAACCGTCTGAGGGGGTTCGGGCGCTGCAAGCGCTGATCGATACCCGTGAGAGCAGCTCGATTCGGCGCCGTCTGCACTGCATCCCTTGGTGGCATGATAGGTCTTGGCCGCGTGTTGGTGACATATGTTTGCCGGCGAGGGGAACGATGACCACCAGCTGTAGCCGGTTCAACTACCGTAGGGCGACCGTTCTGCACCCGCGCACGCGTAGGCGGCGGCTCAGGCGAAGAATGAGAGGATGAGCTAGGCGGCCGACGCAGCTCCTGCGGTGCGTACAAAATGGTGTTTGTTGACATTGTCCGGCTGTGCGGCATGCGACGCGCAGAGCGAGGAGTAACCGACACGGAGGGCCTGCCACTTGATCCCAATGATGAAGATGCCGGGGGTGGCACGAATCCCTTGGTTCTGGGAGTGGTATTGAAGTAATCGTCAATCGACGTTTGGTGTATGACGGGGCCCCGACGGCTGTCACCAGCGTTCGTTGCGATATCTTCCTCCTCCTCCTCATCGTTCGTGACAAGTTCATCGTCGCCGTCTGCGTCTGTTTGTTGATTCTCCTCCTCCTTGGCTTTGGCCGCTGCGACAATGTTCCGGAAGAAGGAGCCGATGGCAGGCTGTGAGATGAAATCTGCTGGGTCGCTAGCCGCAGATCTAACATCTGATATCTGACGAGATCTCTGTGTCCGCAATTCTCTAGAAAGGCTGAGCCTTCTATGCCAATCTGGCCGAGCACTGGTGCTTCCGTTCTCCAGGGTCGGCCACTGGGAAAGTTGAAGATGAGGGGAGGGTTCTTCCTCGTCATTACGGTCCATCCAGTTGCGTACTGCATGCTGGGTCTTCTTTCTCTCATTCCGCCTTTGGTTCCGCAGAGTCGCAAGGCCAGGACCTCGTCGGAAGACCTCCTCCAAGGCATGATCCTTCTGGTAACCGGTAATGGATTCTTCGCGAACGCGCACGTTGGGGCTGAAAAGGGCAGATCGGCTTGCTGGGTCTGCAAAGGAAATCGTCCGATCCCGGCCGTGGTGGTGGTGATTTTCAACAAGGTCCGTCGGCTCGTACATTGACGGGGCGAGCCAGTACTTTTCGTACAGGAAGATGAAGAACAGAAGAGGGAAGTGCGTGGCCTTGATGATTGTTCTGTTCAGTCTGACGAAATGCTTCAGTGGCATGCAGTAACGCAAAGGCATCAACAGCCACGCGAAGATGTTTCCTGGTGCAACGTAGGAAAAGAGCGCGTCGTTCTTGACCATGGAGATTGTGTTGATGGCGAAGAGGAACCTGGATGTTGTTAGAAGCGATTTTTCAACGAGGCGTGTCTGATTACTCACTGATGCTCCTCTTTGGCATTGGAGGCAATCTTCATGAATGAGTTGGTCAAGACCGTGATGAGAATCGTGCTGGGTTTGTTAGTTAAAGCTTGTAGCGAGGAACAGACTTGGCTTACACAATGACGAAGTGACACATGATCAGGAAGAAGCCCATGAGGCCCCTCTCGAGCCAGTTATACCCTGGCCACAGTTCCCAAGCAGCCGGAGTAAAGCCCATGAGAAGCTGGAAGATCCGGAAGGCGATGTCGGCAGCATTGTTATTACCGTCAGCCAGAGTGAAGAAGACGAAGAAGCCGCTGCACGAGATGAGGATCAATACAGTGACGGCCACAAGATCAACAGCCATCAAGCGAAACGCAATCAGCAGCTGTGAGAAGTACTGGTAATGATCCAGCACGCTGAAGATACGGGGCAGCAACAAGATGGCATTCGCCGCGAGAACATCGTAGGCAGAGTCATTCCAGTGCTTTGCGTCCACGAGAAAGACCCCATAGACACGCATGAAGTAGTAGACGATCAACAAGAGAAGGATTCCCAAATCGAAAGCGTTCCAGAAGCTCATGATGTAAAGCGAGAACCCCTGTTCGTTGAACCCGACAAGCTCGTCTAGCATGAAACCGGCACTCCAAAACCAGAATATCAACTCCAACGAGCTGATCCGCGCTGCACGCTGGGCCAAGACAGCAAGAAACAGGCCGATGAGAACGAGAAGTGACAGCGTCGAGAGAAAGAACCTGTAGCGCGGCACGCGGAGTCGTGAGAGCTTGAAGAGGGACGCCTGGCGCGGATCATAGAGAACCACACTCCTTCTTCCCGGTACTGACGGCTGCTGTCCCTCCTTTTGACTATTGCCGCCAAGCAGCGGCGTTCTGGAATCGGGCTTGCCCTGACCACCAGGCGAAGAAGGGGGTTCTCTATGCAAGCTGTCTGCAGACGAGTAGAAGCTGATGGCGCCGTTCCAGATAGCCTCCAACTGCTGCACAACCAGAGGGTGTGCGAGGAAGTGCTTTGCAGAAGCACGAATAGCAACCTCGAGTGTCGAAGTCCGGGCCGCGGTAAGGCGAGCCTTGCTTCTTGGATCCGATTTCGGTGCATTTGCTGGCTGGGCACCGGGAAGGCCCTGGAGGGGGTAAAAGTCGTAAGATAGCGCGTCGATAAGCTCGCGGGTGTTATACTCCTTCAAGAGCTTCAAAGCCAACAATTCGCAAACCAGAGCCCTAGTTGAGCTGTTTCCAGCATTGCCTGGGTACATCTGGGCCTCCTTATTGAACTGCAGGCAATTGGCCATGAGGCAGTATAGGGTGGCGCGGTTGAACTGCTGAGTCCTGATCTGCTGTTGCATTGGTTTGACCAGGAACTGGGAGACTTGGGGGGAGCGTATTTGGTCCCACGATAACGTCGTTTCGGTACGGGTCTGAACGATGATGCGAATCGCGTGGGTAATGCTATATATGGGCAAGGAATCTGCAGGCCTGCGGTCAGCTTGAGGTTATAGATTTATAGGAGCAGCCCATGCAGGGCTTCTGGTTGTCTTGTACCGAGATATGTCTCTGAAAAGAGAGGAAGGACAGGCAAGGAGCGCTGGATGCGATCTTCGTCGTCGACGTTGTCGTGGTCGTCCCCTGACTGGCCTAGGCCGTCATCCTCCTCGTCCTCGTCCTCGTCCTCTTCGTCGTCATCGTCGGCCTCGGTGAAGTCTCCGGTTGCGCGTCGTGGTGGTTCGCCAACGTAGTGGCGATAGGCCGGGCCAGGGGAAGGGGATTGCCTATCGTGAAATCGGTCGACGCGACGGCTGCGATTATTCTGCTTGGGTCGAAGCAGAGAAGAAAACATTGTCTAGTGGGGATGAGATGTAGCCCGCCGCCTTATGCTACCGCGTCCTACGGCGCCATAGAGGAAGGGGAGGAGGCAATTCGAGAATGCGCGGGAAGAAGAAGGGGTGGGGGTTTCGTTTTCGCGTAAACACAGGAGTTCGTTTCGAGTCGGTATGCGGTATTCCTTGGGGAATGCGTGAGAGAGAGAGAGAGAGAGAGAGAGAGAGAAAGAAGTCGTTGGGAGCAACACCAGGCCAAAGCAAGGCGAGGAGGGTCGAAAGTAGGAAGTGAGTTCAGGTCGGAATAGGTTGGCCGAGCACAATGGTAAATAAGAAAGTGCTGGACAGACAGGTCGGTAGGCCAGTAGGGTTCCCCGTGGTCAAGACGAAGAAATCGATGCACTGTTTTGTGGGGAAGCTGGCCAAAAGCCTTTCTTCTGGACCAGGAAGAGGGATGTACAGTAAGACCAAGTGACAAGGAGCAAAGAGACTGATCCTGGGAAAGCAAAGAGTAAAAGGGACGTGGGCGAGTGTTAGGAAGAGACACCGGCAAGCAACAGGCGCGTGGAGCGCGGATCGAGATTCTTACGAGGACGATGCGATTTTTAGCGTAGTCGGACAGGTAGAGTGCTAAAAGGCGAGTGATACTGCATAAGGCAGTCGACGCCGGTAGGGGACGGGAAGGCAAGGAACAGGCGAGTAACAGGAAGTCCGTACGGAGTAAGGGCCTGGATCCATGGATGGGATGATGTTCACCTCCTGTCTATGTGTATACTGTAGGCGCAGACGTAACCGTATGCATGTGTAGCCTGTAGGTACTAGGTAAATGTGTATGGGACGTAGGTATGTACGTATGCACCCCAGCTGCAAATGCAGGCCAGAAGCGAAGCACCTCAAAGCAAGATGGTCTGCATCGATGACCTCTTGCAATGAGGAAATCATAGCCGGTGACGATAGCAACGGAGGGGATAGACTGCGATAAGGAGTCTGGGGTTTAGCCATTCATGACCGTTTACCACCCACCATCCGATGTCTTGTCCACACAACCTAACCAACTTCTTTTTCCAACAACCGAACATGCACACATGGAAGTAGGCAGTAGGTACTTGAGTGCGCAGGTGAGGATCGGGAAAGGAAACGCGGCGCGCCACTGGGGCGAGTGGAGATGCAGCGTCGCGAAATGTCGTGGCTCTCGCTCGCATCGTGGCAGGCTGGGCTTGCTCTTCCAAGGATCAAATGGAAGTGAACAAAAGTGACCACGGGCAGTTGGTAGTGATGGAGTAAGTAACGGGGCATCCAAGATCCAGAGCTTCTCGCCTGGCACGCCTGGGCCGCTCAAGAGTCAGGAATGGGCTAGCGCAAGATCCCTGGGGGTGGGAAGTTGGCCTCTAAAAAGTGGGGGGTTCCAACGCTGCCAATGCGCCACAATGGGAAGTGCGTCAGGCAAGATGCGCCCACCTCTCTCTCTCTGCCAGTGCCTGCCTCTTTCTGCTGCTTGCCCTGCTTCACCTCAACTTGCAAGAGCGTCCCGGTCAATGGTCAACGGGAAGGAGCTCTGGAGTGGACAACTGGAGGCAGGCAAGGCAGGGCAAGACCCAAATTCAATGGAAGCTTCCTGAGCCTGCGGCTGCAAGTGCTCCCTCACCCTAGCACACACATCCCGGAATTTCATGATGTCCACGTCCACATTCACGCATCGCCGCAGCACCGCAACTGGGTACGCACCGGGGCCAGTCCGCTCTGCGAAATGACACAATCAAAAAAAGGCCCGGGGGAGCTCCATGCCTGTGTCGACATTCGTTTGCTACCCTGGAAGCCGATCCATCGTCCAGCCTAGACGTCTTAACGCCAAACTACCTCCCTAGCACGAGTACGTAAACCGCCCGAGTCTTTACAAGTCTTTGCAAGCCTTCGTCGCATCAACTTACCAACTACTAGTTGGCCTTGGTGCAGCCGGGCGTGTTTTGCTATCAAAACAACAAAGGGCAAGGGGGAAAACGGATACCTATTACCGAGTCTCCGAATCAAAACTTCCAGTATCCGTGTCCATACCATCCTGACATACTCTGTAATACACCGTACATGCATGCTAATAACATGTCAGTTAAGCCACATTTCTGCAAAGGCACGCACGTACACGAGAAAAGTAAAGACCGACAACGACGACGACGACATCAGATGAAAAACGGGCGAGACATGCAACCGCATGACTTTGTTAGGACGAAAAAGAGGGAGACCCCGACATACAAGCGCCAAACACTCCGACGACCCGACGCACTCAGACACCCGTCCCCGTCCCGCTCTGTCAGACGAGAGACATTCGACCGCCGGACACACAGGTACAGGTGCCTGCGTCTGCCTCTCGTGCCTCTGCATTCACGTCTGTGTCTGCGGCTTCCTCTCCGACATAGTCCGGATCAACATCCGTAGCCTCCTTTTTCTCCCGGTATTCTCTATAGCTATTTTTTAAAAAATAGGCAAGCCATCTCATTACACTCGGCAGCCAAAGGCGAGAATGCGAAGGGGAACGAAGGATAAGACGTACCAGGCAGACCCAGGAGTCGCCGAAGCTGCCATTCAATGCGAGAACCAATTTCGGAATTCGACCTGGCAGATGGGCTGCATCCGCGGCCGCGCATCGTCACTTGACATGCGTGACACACGATGCTTGGATACTGACTGGACTGGGCGGCTGGGCCCTTGTCATGGGTCGATTCTCGGCTCTCCTTCATTGCTTTCCAAAATTGAATCACAACGCCTCACTCGGCATCTTCAGTTCAAGACAGTCACAAAATCAACTCGAACATGTCTCTCCACCGCTAGCCTGAAAACTAGCACAGTTCGCAGGAGAAATAGGGCGAGTCGGTCAGCAAGCAGTGAAGCACACCTCACCTCAAGAGCCCCAGAGTCGCAACAGTGAAGCTTGCGTTGCATCCTCCAGCTCCAAGAGTTCAAGCCCCCCACAGGATCAGCAGCACACCTCGAGCCATTCCCTCGCTTGATTGGCCTACGGGGGCCGTCACCGCTATTGGCATCCCACACACACGGATGCACAGATGGCACCTGTTCTGGCCCAGGGTGTGACGCTGCATTTAGGAGACACCGCCGGGATTTTGCTCTCGACAGGCCCCTGCTTCCACACCATGTCGTTTCTACTCGATGCTACTCCTCCAGTCCTTTTTTCTTCTTGTGGTGTCAATCCCGCCTTCAAAGAACGGGAAGGGAGTGCTTCCCGTTTGCGCTGTTTTGGTTCCCGAGAGCGATCAGAGGCACAACTACTTGAGTTGTAGTTGAGGCAGGCGCACACACACACACATTTGGCTCAAGAACATAGTACGCGTGACCAAGACTCAACGATACCTTCACACAGCTCGCACTTACACAAGGTTGCCGAAATCCTTCTGGAGAGAATGAGCTGGTTGGTGTGCTTCTTCTCATCGACTCGTCCAAGCGATGCACGGAATCTCAGCAGACGCCCGTCATGCCAGGTTACATTGAGACCAACACGGCCATCGGCGATTTATGTCGATTCAGATCTCGAATAGATATTACAGGGTAGAGGCCGCCATACCCAAGCCAGCATCGCGAACTCTATGCGTTCCACCAATTGACCACACCGCAGCGTAAATCTGCAGGCCCGGCAACAGCAGATTTCGCAAATTCCCTCGCATTGCACAAGCCTCACGAGTCAAGCCTCCACCTTGCCGGCCTGTGTTCTTGCTCCCCTTTTTTCCTTTTTTTTTTTTTTTCTTGGCTCCTTTCGACCTCTTAAATCCCAGCTGGCTTAGCCAAGCATTCATGCTCCAGGCTCTTCCGAGACTAGTAAGCTGTCCTGCTTACAGCTACTGCGTAGTAAGCTGTCCTGCTTATCCGTACAGCTAGTAAGCTGTCCTGCTTACAGGGGAGCCGTCCTGTCAGAGATGATGGGCTGGGTGAGATCCGTGGGGTTCATTAGAAGCGTCCAGTGGAATGTCATCTTCCGTCACTTGACCTGCCTACTCACGCTACTACACTCAGTTGCCGTTTATTTCGACTACTTAGTGAGAATACCACATTCCGATAAACCAGTATAAGACACAAGTATGGCACGTGCAAGTACGTCAAGTCATCCGCATTATCCGTTCCTTAATCCAAGGTGCCGAGAGTTTCTCCAAAGATGATCCAAAAATGGTATTTGATGAGGGGCTGGACTCGAATTGGCGCCGTGGAAAACGCAAAGCATGGGTTTAAACCCCACCGTCTTTTTTTTTTTTTGTCGCGACGGCTTCTTTACTCATTGAGGCGAGATACATATGCGTAATACTCTACCAGTGGCCATTGCCAATTTGGATTTTCTTATGGCGAATTTTCAAGCATAGAACTAAGGTGTGATTATTCGGAGTGAAAATATTTGGTAAACAAAGTATTTAGACATTGCGAGGTCTCGATGAATCTGAAGCATTTTCCAGTCCGGGGGGTGGTTGTTGCCCCAGCTGCCCATACCTACCCCAAATCGAGAGGAATGCCCCGCCAAAAATTCAGCACCGGCATCGGCGATGGCCAGGTGAAAACAGTGGAGGTGAGAGCTGTTCTCACCTTGGCCGGTGTGCGCAGGTCAAAATCGGATCTTCCACTCATGTTCAATAACATGGAAGTGATTCCGTAATAAGCTTACAAGCCAGCACACACATCAATGCTTCAAAAGAGCCACGGCTACCCAACGCTTGCAAGCCCAAGGCCCTAGGTATGCCCTCGAAGTAAATCACCACATCGATCGTAAGGTATCGATTTGCAAGGTTATTTGAGGGACGTACTATTGCAAGTAGCCTGGTCCATTCCAATCGTGGACTCGGCCAATTTTGGAAGTGATTCACAAGCGGCCGGTCCACTCGTGGCCAGCCACCGTTCAGGTGTACTGTGTAGAGTACCGTAGTTTTCTCCCGCCTCTCATAGCTTTAGGTCCTTCACCACTGGCCACTCAAGCTAGGAGAATTTGAGGTGAGGAAAGAAATTTCTGCAGGGACAAGACTGACAAAATTCTGCAACCTCAGCCATCCGGGCGGGCTGTTGGTGGCATTGGTGAATTTTGGTGCTGGTGACGCGGGGCTAATTCCCCCGCCCTATGGCTAGAAGCGGCAATGACCCAAACCTACCGCCATTTTCTGCCACTTTCTGCCCACTTGGTAGATTGCGCTAGACCTTTTGTCGCTGACCGCCTGCGATTTCGGTGAAGCATAAGCCGTATTTTTTCAGTTGCAGATCTGTGTCAACGTAGCCGGGACTCCACTGTCCAGGGATTGTGCCTGTATCATTGGTCAATCCACTCTTAAATTCCTCCCCCAGCGAGGGAAGGCCCTGAGCATGGAGGAGGGGGGTAACCAGATGAATTTTTTTTTTTTTCTCTCTGTCAGAGCAAGGTAAAAGTCTTTGGGTCCTGCTGTTTGGCTCTTCTCTCCCTCCTTCTCTCTTTTTCCTTTTTTCTTTCTCCGACAATGGTTGTCTAGAAACTCGCATAACTTCCCGAAGATCTATCGTGGCAGATGATCGCTGGGAAGCTCCAGAACCAACCTACGAGACTCTTTTGACGAGCTCGCTGCTGTCACTTTCTCTAGCACTTCTTTTTTTCACATCGTTGTTGCTTTAGACCCTCTTCCCTCCGAGAGTTTCTTCACCCGTCAATTTTCTCTGTGCCCCGCATCACCCAGAAGAAACTCCTCCTTTCACAACCGAAAATGTCGCCCACCGTCTACCCCCCGGCTGCGGCCCGCATTGTCGGCTCCGATGACGAGGGCCTCATGGCTCTGGAGCTGCCCGATGGCACCGTCTACCAGGGTTACAGCTTCGGTGCTCAGAAGAGCATCGCCGGAGAGCTCGTTTTCCAGACCGGAATGGTGGGGTATCCGGAGTCGGTGACAGACCCCTCGTACCGTGGCCAGATCCTGGTTATCACCTTCCCTCTGGTTGGCAACTATGGTGTCCCTTCGCGGGAGACCATTGACGAGCTCCTGGGCGACCTGCCCGCTCACTTCGAGTCGTCCCAGATTCACATCGCCGGTCTCGTCGCCCACTCCTACTCGGGCGAGGATTACTCCCACTTCTTGGCAGAGTCATCACTCGGCACCTGGCTCAAGGAGCAGGGCGTCCCCGCCATCTACGGCGTTGACACCAGGCAACTCACAAAGTACCTGAGGTCACAGGGCAGCACCCTCGGCCGCCTGTTGTTGCAAAAGAAGAACCTGACCAACGGCACCGCCAATGGTCACGTCAATGGTGTCGCGTCCTTCTCCATTGAGGACTTCCAGGCCGTCGACTGGGTGAACCCCAACGAGAAGAACCTCGTAGCTGAGGGTGAGTTCTGCCAACAATTCTCTTGATTCGGCTTTTGCTTACTCTGCATTCTAGTATCAATCAAGGCTCCCAAGTTGTACAAGCCTCCTTCGAGCGTTGCCGTGAAGAAGCACCCCTCCGGCCGACCTATCCGCGTCCTGTGCTTGGACGTCGGTATGAAGTACAACCAGCTGAGATGCTTCCTCAAGCGCGGTGTCGAAGTCCTGGTCTGCCCCTGGGACCACGACCTGGTCAAGCAGGCGGGCGAAGAGTACGATGGTCTCTTCCTCTCCAACGGTCCCGGTGACCCGGCCATGCTGGAGAACACCGTCAAGAACATTCAGGCTGCCATGGAGAAGACCAAGACTCCCGTCTTTGGTATTTGCTTGGGACACCAGCTGCTCGCCCGTGCCTCCGGTGCCAGCACCGAGAAGATGAAGTTCGGCAACAGAGGTCACAACATTCCCTGCACGAGCATGATCTCCGGAAAGTGCCACATCACCTCCCAGAACCACGGTTTCGCCGTCGACTCTAAGTCTCTGACGGCCGACTGGAGGGAGCTCTTCGTCAATGCCAACGACGGCAGCAACGAGGGTATTGCCCATCTGTCCAAGCCTTACTTCAGTGTGCAATTCCACCCCGAGAGCACACCCGGTCCTCGCGACACCGAGTACCTCTTTGATGTCTTCATTAGCACCATTGAGGAGTGCGCCGCCGACCCCAAGGCGCTCAACGCCCCGGTCAAGTTCCCCGGTGGCACCATCGAGGAGAACGAGCGTCTTCACCCCCGCGTCCACCCCCGCAAGGTCCTCATTCTGGGCAGTGGTGGTCTTAGTATTGGACAGGCCGGAGAGTTCGACTACTCTGGCTCCCAGGCCATTAAGGCTCTCAAGGAGGAGGGTATCTACACCGTTCTCATCAACCCCAACATTGCGACGATTCAGACCTCCAAGGGTCTTGCCGACAAGGTGTACTTCCTTCCCGTCAACGCAGAGTTCGTCCGCAAGGTCATCCAGTACGAGAGACCCGATGCCATCTACGTCACCTTTGGTGGACAGACTGCTCTTTCAGTCGGTATTCAGCTGAAGGACGAGTTCGAGGAGCTCGGTGTCCAGGTTCTTGGTACCCCTATTGACACCATTATCACCACCGAGGATCGTGAGCTCTTTGCCCGCAGCATGGACTCTATTGGTGAGAAGTGCGCCAAGTCTGCTTCTGCAAGCAACATTGACGAGGCCATGTCTTGTGTCAAGGACATTGGCTTCCCCGTCATTGTCAGAGCCGCCTACGCTCTTGGAGGTCTCGGCAGTGGTTTCGCCAACAACGAGGCCGAGCTCATGGATCTCTGCAACAAGGCCTTCGCCGCCAGCCCCCAAGTGCTTATCGAACGCAGTATGAAGGGCTGGAAGGAGATCGAGTACGAGGT